TGACATCATTTCCCGCCGGAATTCAAATTACAGTAGTTACTGTATACATGTGAGGGTCGCTCAAAACATAGTTATAAGGTGTATTATATGAATTCAGCCAGAGATGGAGTGATGCAGTGTCTGGGAAATCAAATAATGTGCCGTGCTGCTGCTGGGGATCTGTGTCTGTGTAACGGCTGTAAAGCAGCTGTTCCAGGGACACAGGTCGGTAAATCGGGGGGCGTGGCCGGCCGCTAGAGAGCTGGAGCTCGTCATATTCAGGCCGCACCCATGGTTTGTCATCGGGCTCGTATCTTGCGGTGATAGGCCGAGTGCGTCTAGGGGTGCGTGGTGCCGGCCGCGTCATCGGTAGCCATAGCAGCGGTCGGACGCCGCTGTCACGCCCCTGCAGTCTCAACTCTAAATACGGTTCCGCTCGCAATAAGGGCTAGGGCACCAGGAGAGTGTGTGGCATTAAAAGCAGGGCATGGGGTGGTGATGATAGGCAGACATATGTAAGGCAAGGAGTGGCCGGCACATATGGGAGACATGCAAATCATCACACTGTACATGTGTGGAGGTAACCTGGCAGGACAGCTCCCTGCAGGGGCCTGGGTCACAGGTGCTTAAGCATTATATGCATGGTGCAAAAACGGTACAGAAACAGTTTATGCATGGTACAAAAGTGGTCGCAAGAAGTATGTTAACATGTATGGTCAGACATAAGCATTTCTCCTGGCTGGAGCAACGTGTATATGGTAACAGTGAAGGAAACAATTGAGAGTGAAGCATCTCCATAGTCAGGACAGCGCATGACATATGCATGATAAACCATAAGTAATAAATGGTCAGAGCATCATAAGACACATACATGGTTCAATAGGGCAGAACGCATGGACACGCATAGACACGTATGCGGTACATAATAGGGAGTGGAGCGACATATAGGCGGGAAATTAGATGGGATCAAGGCAAAAAAAGAGTGCTAGGTCATCCGGCCCCAGCTGTGGCGGTGGGGCCACCCAAGGGGGGAAAAAACAAGAAAAAACACATTCAACCTTATGGTACGCCATGCCCTGGTGAGTTTGCGTTAGCGATCTGGTAGGAAGCACGTCAGTGTGAGGCTTGTGTTGAGGCCCCTGGGTATGATGGTATCCAGTGTGTGGATCCAGTAGGCTTCTCGTTGGAGAAGATACCTATCATGGTTCCACATGTTCGATAACCATCCCACGTAACTCGTGGGTCTGGTGTCGAAGATTGGCAAAGTGGACAGCCACCGGTTTGTTCAGATCTGGAGTTTCACTGGTTGTGGTGTTGGTGATCGCAATTCTAATATCGCTGCAATGTTTTTGAAACCGTCGCTTGAACGGCGTCCCATGGTCTTGCCCGTAGACAAGGCCACATGGACACTTAAGTAGGTAGACACATGCTTCTGTGATGCAGTTTAGATAGCCCCTGATGAGGTATCGTTTGCCACTGTGTGGATGCGAGAACGTATCTCCAACGATAAGCGCGCTGCAAATGTTACAGTTGTAACACTTGTAGCAGCCTGTGCGTTGTGAAATCCTAGTGGGCGTGCGCAAGTACTTGTGTCTGGGATCAGCCTGGACCAAATGGTCTCTCAGGTTTCTACTGCGGCGGTATACCTGCAGTGGTGCCGTCTTAAGCTGTGTGGCTAAACTTCTGTCGGCTTGAAGAATGTTCAGATTTTTGGTGGTGGACCTATGTATTAGGCGTGAGGCACCGTTGAATTTCTGAATAAATGGAATCCTATCCACTGAAGGTTTGTCCTTCTTCGTTGTGGAGGACATCTTGGTAATGGCTTGGTCAAGGGCATGGTCCAATATGGTCACTGGGTAACCCCGTTGCCGGAACTTACTATACATGGCTTGCGTCCTTGTCTGAACAAATACGCAGAACCCACATTAATTGGGATATGGGTAGATTGTCCAGTAGGTGTCGGGGGTGGGAGCTTCGGTAATGTAGGATCGTGTTGAGGTCAGTGGGTTTGCTGAATAGGGTCGTGTGCAGCTGACCATCAGATATGTTGATCAGCACATCAAGAAAGGTGATGTGGTAATTGCTGAATTCAGTGTTAAAAATAATCCCTGGAAAAATGGAGTTCAGAAATTTGGTGAAGACATGGAAAGTGGCTGTCTCACCCTGCCAGATGACAAAAATGTCATCGATGTAGCAGACCCAAAATACCACATGGGTCATGAATAACTCTGAGGGTTAAATGAAGATCTCTTCCAAAAAACCCATAAACAGGTTGGCAAATGATGGGGCAGCAGAGCTGCCCATCGCGGTCAGAAACTGGTTGATAGTGAATATTTTACTATCAACAGTTTCTGAATGAATGGGAAGCCTCTGTACTGAGTTAATTGATTAATTGTTAGAACGCACCACAGTGCTTAATTTTTTCTAATTAACATTAATTTAACTGTGGCAGCGCATGCCAAAGCATTGTGACGCATTGCCACACGTTGTGATACGCTGTGTTGCAATTAAATATATGCCTATATAATTTCAGCACACACACCAGGATAGCGCACTAACCATTTTTAGCATAAGTCACTTTTTTTTACAGTTTTGCATTCCTTCATTTTTTTACCGTTTCGCAAAAAGGCGCAATTTAAAATTTACAAATATTTGTTATTTATTAACTCAATACAGTTTTATCTTTTAGATTTAGTCAAAAAAAGTATTTTATTGTGCACTGATACTGATTTTAGTGTCCTTTTATCAATTTGATTGTGTATTTTTATTGGTTTAATATTGATTTGACAAACATTTGTGCAATTATCGCAGAACCTAAAGAATTAGGTTCAGAAAATATATGGTTTGGGGGGTCTTTTACAAGCGCAAGCAATGCAGCAGTAGGAAATCAAAACAATGTGAAAAATTGCAAAAAAAGTGTGGCCAGTGGAGGGCTTTGCAGCAACAAGGTTAAAACAAGCTCATGGCTCCTGATGCAGCAGCTGTGAGCTTGGCATAATTTACTACACCCGAGCTATGTGGTAAAAGTGTTGAGCCCTGATATCTCCATAAAGAGTACCTTTCATCTTCCTCTTGTTAGCCCCATTGTGATAGCAATAAAGTTAAATGGGAAAAAAAAGCCAACCCTACCCCCCACCCACACATACAAATGCAAGCCTCCTGAGACAGCACACACAGCCCTGGTGAGACACCACACAAAACCCTGATGAGATGCTGCACACAGCCCTGTGGAGACTGCACAGCCCTGGTGAGACCGCACACAGCCTTGGTGAAACCGCACACAGTCCTGGTGAGACCGCACAGCCCTGGTTAGACCCCGCACAGCCTCCTGAGACTGCACACAGCCCTACTGAAAAACACAGAGTATCTACTAATATTATTCTGCATTGCTGTACAATGTATTGCTGGGATTTTTAGGCCTCTCTAGCTGGTGGTGTTTTTGCTGTATTGCTGTATATTGTTTTGCTCGGATTTGTAGTCTCTGTACAGTTTGGAGTCAGTGTCATCTGAGACCTGGTCCTGGCACTCCACCATGTTCCAAAAATATTGGTCTGTTTTTTTAAAAACTGTCACATGACACTAAAAAAATTGTGTTGGAAATTGGTATCAGCGAGTACTTGTACTTGGTCAGGAAAAATTGGTATCAGTGCATCTCTAATTTCCAGAGCAAATGTTGGTGAAAGATGCGATATGTGAAATTATCAGTGCTGAAAAATAGGGATGTTCCGATACAAGTACAGATAATTTTCCAGCTCCAAGACTAGACTAGAGAAAAATTAAAAAGTTAGGAGGCAGCTGTCATTTTTAAGGAGCATACGGAGCTCTTGGGAATTGTGCATCCCTGTTATAATGTAAGATTTAAAAAAAAATGTTTTTAAATAAGAGATGCACCGATACCATTTTTTCAAGTACATGTACTGATACTTGTCAAAGTACTCACAGATGCAAGTACTGATACAGTTTTGTTTATTGTCATGTGACAGTTTTTCTAAAACAATACAGACTAATGATTTCATGCCAGAGCCCTGTCACAGCTGCAACCAATAGACAGAATCTCACCTTTTTTGCTGGACCTTTAACTTATAAAAGGTTTAAGTGTGTCTTTCAGCCACTCCAATGAACTGAATAATATGCCTGGATCAAGAAAGTATTCATTTAAAGCAGCAGCAAGGCTTAGGCAAAGCAAATAAATAAAACTTCATAGTGCTTTCAGTTAAGAAAAATACATGAAAATATTTATTAAAACAACTCTAAAAAATCATATTTGTTGGTGCATAATAAATCATGCACAGAATATCTAAGTTCAGATTAAACGTGTCACTGGAGATAGATATACCATCAGAGGTCCTGTGTTTTCCCAGGGGAACAATGCCACTAACAGTGGTTTGCTCCTGAACCCTAGGAGTTACGTCACTCTACTCCACCCTATGTATTATATCATATAGGCTTCATCAGGAGAACCAAAAAGTGTGCCTTAACACAATTATAGAAAAGTGATATATTGCAAATTATCAGTCCTTAGATGTGGTGGCTGCATTAGCCTTCCTTTTTAAGACGTTTTGCTTTCTTTTCACCTGTTATCCAGCCAGTAATACAGGGGGTGGCTGCATTTGCTCACTCACCCTACCGGAGCTATGGAGAAGCATAATTTTCACCGCAACATAAGGGGTAGGGTTCTCTAGTCCTCAGTGATAGCTGAGAAGAGTGTGACTATTAAGTGTACAGGACAGGCAGAGAGCACAGGAAGTTATCAACTGACAGCGTTTCTGGCAGAGTCTTCAGGTATTTTTTGTACTTATCAAACAGATATAACAAAACACTTTCAACTGCATATTTGCATCTAACCAAATAAGATAAGTTTTGTTAGGACATACACTTCCTTAAATTTTACCTGCCCCATTGACCTCATTGCATTTAGCTGAATGGCAAGATTTTGCTGAAATTATCTTAATTCTCACTGAAATTTAGGTCCAATTTAATGTAATATAAGTCCAATTTGAGATCATAAGAGTGGACTAAAATCAATGCTTTTTTAGACATCGTTCAATGTGTTTTTTGAGTGCCTCTTTAACATCTTTGTTCCGAAAAGAGTAAATGAAAGGGTTAATGAAAGGAGTAACAGCTGTATACATAAGGGCAAGGAATTTGTCATACTGGCTGCCCTTGGGTTTTACGTACACAATGGTGGCTGTACCATAGAAGAGGCTGGCCACGATTAGATGAGATGAACATGTGGAGAAGGCCTTCTGCTTCCCTTTAACACTGCTAATCTTTAAAACAGTAATGATGATCCGTACATAGAACCCTAAAATGATAATGAAAGGAACTACAACATCAAGGAAAGCAATAAAGCTAGTTATCACAATGACAACAAGTGGAATAGAGCATGCCATACTCTGTAGTGGGGCAAAGTCACAAAAGAAATGATTTATCTTTGAACCACAAAATTCCAGCTGTGCTGTGATGATTGTTGGTGCTAGGACTATGCCAAAACCAACCATCCAAGGCAGAACTGCCAACTTGGTACAAAGCTGAGTGTTCATTATAGCTGGGTAACGTAGAGGGTTATTTATAGCCAGGTGTCGATCAAAGACCATTACTGATAGCAGATAACATTCTGTAACACCTAAGGAGTTGAATACATATAGCTGTGTAAAACAACTAATAAAAGAAATGTTTTTATTTGTTGACACAAGGCTGGCTAGGAGCTTTGGGACAGTGGAAGAAACAAACACAATTTCCAAAGCTGAAAATGTGCAGATGTACAAATACATTGGAGTATGAAGGGAAGGATCAGCTTGAACAAGTGCAATAATTGCAGTGTTTGCAGCGACACTTGTAATGTATGTCAGCAGTACCAAAATAAAAATCACAGTCTGATATCGGTGAAAGTCAGAGAAAGACAGCAGAACAAATTCTGCTATTAAAGTGGTGTTAAAGTGTTCCATTTTTATTTTAATTCATACCTGTAGGGAGGGAAAACATTATATTTTATATCATCATATATCATCACAATTGTATTTTAGACATGGACTACATATTTGGGGTCTATCCCCTAATATTCTTTGTTTTGGATCACATCTACCCACTTGATTTTCTGGCCCTGGGCATGGAAAGTCAGTCCTTTGGCTATATTCTCCATAATGTAAAAATTCAAGCAAATTCCAACAGGAAAAGCAAAACCTCCTTAAAAGCTTCTGCAAATGGTCAAAGCTGAAAATGTACTCTGCGGTTTCACCAGTCTGGTTAGGCCCCTCAGTGCCCTGGTGAGACCCCAAAGAGCCCTGGTTAAACTAGGGCTCTGTGGGGGTCTCAGCAGGGCGGACCCCCAGTCTTGGTGAAACCCCACAGAGCTGCGGGGAGACCCTACAAAGGCCCGATTTAATCAGGGCTCTGTGGGGTCTCACTAGGGCTCTGTGGGGTCTAGACCCCACAGAGCCCTGGTAAAATCCCAAAGAGCCCACCAGGGTAGGGTCCCAACATGGTTCTGTGAGGTTAAAAAAGGGCTGGTGAAACCCCACAGAGCCCTGGTGAGACCCCAAAGTGCCCTGGTGAGACCCCACACAGGCCCGGTTAAACCAGGGCTCTGTAGGGTCTCACCAGCACCAGGGCTCTGTAGGGTCTCATCACCAGCCTGGTTAGACCCCTCAGAGCTGTGGTGAGACCCCAAAGAGCCCCAGTGAGACTTTCTCACCAAGGCTCTGTCTGGTCTCACCAGGGCGAGATAGGGTCTCACCAGCACCAGGGCTCCGTAGGGTCTCGCCAGTGCTCTGTGGGGTCTCAACAGCCTGGTTAGACCCCTTCAGGGCCCTGGTGAGATCCCACAAAGCCCTGGTTAAACCAGGGCTCTGAGGGGGTCTCATCAGGGCTCTGTGGGGTCTAATCAGCCTTGTTAGTCCCACAGAGCCCTTGTGAGACCCCTTTAGTGCCCTGATGAGACTCCTTTAGTGCCCTGATGAGACTCCTTTAGTGCCCTGATGAGACCCCTTTAGTGCCCTGATGAGACCCCTTTAGTGCCCTGATGAGACCCCCTTAGTGCCCTGATGAGACTCCACAGAGCCCTGGTTAAACCAGGGCTCTGTGGGGTCTCACCAGGGCGAGATAGGGTCTCAACAGCACCAGGGCTCCATAGGGTCTCACCGGTGCTATGTGGGGTCTCACAAGCCTGGTTAGACCCCTTCAGGGCCCTGGTGAGACCCCACAGACCAGGGATCTGTGGGGTCTCACCAGAGCTCTGAGGGGGCCTCACCAGGGTAGTAGGGTTCTGTGGGGTCTCACCAGGGCTTTGAGGGGGCCTCACATAGCCCTGGGGAGACCCTACACAGCCCAGGTGAGTCCCTACTGGTTAAACCAGGGCACTGTGGGCTCTCACCAGGGCTCTGAGGGGGCCTCACCAGGGGAGCAGGGATCTGTGGGGCCTCACCAGAGCTCTGAGGGGGCCTCACCAGGGGAGCAGGGATCTGTGGGGCCTCACCAGAGCTCTGAGGGGGCCTCACCAGGGGAGCAGGGATCTGTGGGGCCTCACCAGAGCTCTGAGGGGGCCTCACCAGGGGAGCAGGGATCTGTGGGGCCTCACCAGAGCTCTGAGGGGGCCTCACCAGGGGAGCAGGGATCTGTGGGGCCTCACCAGAGCTCTGAGGGGGCCTCACCAGGGGAGCAGGGATCTGTGGGGCCTCACCAGAGCTCTGAGGGGGCCTCACCAGGGGAGCAGGGATCTGTGGGGCCTCACCAGAGCTCTGAGGGGGCCTCACCAGGGGAGCAGGGATCTGTGGGGCCTCACCAGAGCTCTGAGGGGGCCTCACCAGGGGAGCAGGGATCTGTGGGGCCTCACCAGAGCTCTGAGGGGGCCTCACCAGGGGAGCAGGGATCTGTGGGGCCTCACCAGAGCTCTGAGGGGGCCTCACCAGGGGAGCAGGGATCTGTGGGGCCTCACCAGAGCTCTGAGGGGGCCTCACCAGGGGAGCAGGGATCTGTGGGGCCTCACCAGAGCTCTGAGGGGGCCTCACCAGGGGAGCAGGGATCTGTGGGGCCTCACCAGAGCTCTGAGGGGGCCTCACCAGGGGAGCAGGGATCTGTGGGGCCTCACCAGAGCTCTGAGGGGGCCTCACCAGGGGAGCAGGGATCTGTGGGGCCTCACCAGAGCTCTGAGGGGGCCTCACCAGGGGAGCAGGGATCTGTGGGGCCTCACCAGAGCTCTGAGGGGGCCTCACCAGGGGAGCAGGGATCTGTGGGGCCTCACCAGAGCTCTGAGGGGGCCTCACCAGGGGAGCAGGGATCTGTGGGGCCTCACCAGAGCTCTGAGGGGGCCTCACCAGGGGAGCAGGGATCTGTGGGGCCTCACCAGAGCTCTGAGGGGGCCTCACCAGGGGAGCAGGGATCTGTGGGGCCTCACCAGAGCTCTGAGGGGGCCTCACCAGGCTAGAAGGGATCTGTGGGGACTCACCGGGCTCTGAGGGGGCCTTACCAGGGTAGCAGGGTTCTGTGGGCGAGAACCCATCAGGGCGAGATCCCAAAGAGCCCTGGTTAAACCAGGGCTCTCCACAGTGCTCTCACCTGATTTCCACAAGGCTCTCCAGGCTACCATTCCAGTACTGTGTGTGCTGTGCTGGCCGTGTCTTGTGGGCGTCTCCATCAACTTCTGTAGTTAAACTCCGCCCTCCCAGCCAGAGATCCTCGTGTGGTGGATGGGAGGGGTGAGGTCTCTTCTCATTGGCTGGTGGGCGGAGCTCCGTGCAGAAGACCGAGCCGATGGTCCGCACCAACGATCAGGTAACGTATGAGCTCTCAGCCCTGTCACTGTCAAACTGAGAGTCTCAGTTTGACAGCTACGGGGATGAGAGCTCACAACGCTACCTGGCTGCCGTTCTGACAGGGCAAACTAGGCGGCCGTGAGGCCCTCGGGAGGCCTAAGGCGACCGCCTAATTTGCCTAATTAAAGAGCCGCCTCTGCCTTAGCTTAGTGAATGAGCTAAAGTGCCGCTGACTTCCATCATCCAATCGTGTGCAGTAGGGGTGTTCAGATACCAGTGCTGATACTTGGCCTTTTCACGAGAACTACCAGGGTTGCAGAGGTTGCAGCTGGGACCTAGCTCTGTTGCTCCACCACTGTGCTGAAATCATTAGTCTGTATCATGTTAGAAAAACTGTCACATGACAATAAACAAAACTTTATCAGTATTTGTATCTGTGAGTACTTGGGCAGGTATCAGTACTTGAAAAAATGGTATTGGTGCATCCCTTATAAATATTTATTTTTAAAAATCATACATTAAAACAGGGATGCACAAAACCTAAGAGCTCTGTATGCTCCTTAAAAATTACAGCTGCCTCATGACTTTTGAATTTTTCTCTAGTCTAGTCTTGGAGCTGGAAAAGTATCTGCACATGTACTTGTACTTCTACCAAGTACGGTACTTGGTATCTGAACATCCCTAGTGTGCAAGCAAAAATACTTTTTTTTTTCCTTACAAGTGATTGGGTATTCTTTGCAAAGTTAAGGGAGAATTTCCCTGAAAAGTAAACAGGCTTATTTGCCTTTAGTAAATCATCCCCTTAGAGCAGGGCTCAAAATTTCAAGTCTTGAGCTACTAGCCAGGCCTTAAGAGTTACTCGCCACTAGTTGCTCCACCTAGCCCTTACCCTGCCCCAGCCTTAACTCCGCCCCTTAAACACACCCTCTTAAATAATCTTATGACAATTCTTATCTTATGATAGTTGCCGCTTTTAAAAATGGCAGATTAGGGATTTCCTGCTGCAGGAAAATGCAAGTTCCTGACTCAGGAATCCCTATTCACACCTGAAATATATGTGTCAATTGGGGCCTAATATACACATACTCTAAAACACATTATTACTCTTTTCAACGTCCGCCCCCCCCC